AATGAATTGCAAAAAATTACTTTATCGCCTTTATGAGTTTATATTCTTCTAAGCTACGGATTCCTCATATTTTCTTACTGTTAAAGCAAGGATTTATATATTTTAATTAATTCCAATTACGAAAACTAGTGTTTGAGGCCTAAGCGGCTTCAGTTATTGCGACAGATTCCCGCTATGATAATATCTCCAATATTAGCTTTCTATACTTATAATAGTATTTATAATGTTAGAAGGTAGAATTTTAGAACATATTTCCTTTCTGCTTTAAAAATTTCAAATATTTTATCAATTTCAAAAAATTTATGAAAATTAACATTAAAAATAAAAGTCTGCAATAAATATTTTTTATACATTTTTTATTTGATTTATGTGGTCAAACGATGCTGTGCTTATAAAGCTTAAACTAACCTAGAGTTACTGATATCTAACCTCGTTAGAGAGTTATAACACAAGGGCAACATTTTCTGATTGGTCGAGAGTCGAAATTTACCGAAATAAAACGCAACAAACTTTTTTGTAGACTTAACATGGAGCGAAACAGACGGGTATTTCTTATTTGGCGGAATCTCATAACTTCAGGTACATATTCTTTTCTTCTGCTTTTAAAATTAATCTAAACTTATCTAAGTATCTATCATACACAAATATCTCTGGGTGATATGATTATAAAATCTGTATGTATTGCTTAAAAAACGATAAAAAGTGGTCAGAAATTTGGCAAGCAATAAGTTTCCTTTGGCAATAATTTAATGTTAAATTTTGCTGGTAACGGTCGTGAAATGAATGCAAACAGTATTGTAATTCAGTCCGATTTTTAATTTGAGTACTCTAGCCAGTCTTAAAGTGTTCGAAAAGTTTTGATAGACTGAAAATTCTCTTTGAAAGTATTTTCGTGGTGAGTTCTTTTGGTAGCTGCCTAAATATGATTGAATCATGCATTGACATCGGCCACGGATCTTTAGTACTGTTTTGAGAGCTTTAGCTAGTCAGAAAGTGATCTACATTTTGACTGCAAGATTCCGTCAAAACAAAAATTCATTTATTGAGATACCATCACAAAGATATCAAGATTCCATTAAGTTAGCAAAAAAAAAGGAATAAGATAAAAAGATTATTTGAATAAAAATATTTATTTAAGAGATAAAAAAAAATATGTTAATAAAATAATTTAAAAAAAACTTTTAACAATCTAATTTTTTGTAAATTTATCAATAATTTACTCAATTAATTAAAATGCTATTCATTTTAGATTTAATTTTAATATATATCTTTAACTCAAATATCGCATGAAGTTCAATAATTAAAATACCACTAAAAATCACTGTGCAAGCTAAAAGCGACTAATACAGATGAAGAAATGTAGATAGGAGACAAGCTTCGCCAAGTGTAGGTAGTATTCATTTCATAAATATTTTCTTTCGCAATCCCGCTGTTTCGGCCAATTTTGAAGCCATTATCGTAACTCTCTAAATGAAAGTTAGATAGCAGGAACTCTAAGCGACCATACTTAACCAGTTGTGCTGTGAATAACATTGAAAGCATAATATATTTTTTCAAAAAAAATTTTTCATTATAATTTCTAAAAAGTGCCAAAAAGAATAAAAATATATTTGGCAGCATAAAATCAAAATTAATATCCTCCTTCATCGCAATCCAATTCTGCAAACGATATTTGCTTCTGATTTTATAAGTACCCATTCAAACGAAAAGAAAAATTCTTAAATTTGAGTAAAAGCGATCTTTTAAATTAGAGCAGTTACCCCGACAAATAAAAAAAAACTGAGCAAACATGAACTTTCTAAGAATATACTCTTAGAACAACTTTTCGGAACGATTTTCTCGGCGTTATAAAATAGAAAACTCCTCCCTTCTCCCCCACCTCAAAGTCTCGTTTCAAATATTGATCAGCGAAAATGTTCAAAAAATATTCTTGAAGACCTTAATCGTCCCTGAATTTGAGTTCAAAGTGAATTGCCTCTCCTTAATATAAAACTTTGGAAGCAGTTTTTCAGCTTCGAATTTGAGAACGGGATCCTTAAAAAAAAAGGGAGAAAATGGTTTGCAGTAAAAAGCGAAATGCGGTGGGAGTAAAAACATTTTTCAATCGAGTGGGGTTTTTTCACGAACGACATTGTCCTGTTTCTTCGTTTTTTCCGTTTATTTTTTTTCTTTCGCACCCTTTAATCTGTAATAATATTGGATGCGTTCTTTTTTTCATATTAAGTATTGAGTTCCGAGACGATGAAGAATGATTTATTACCTAAGTGTTAAATTTTAGTTTTTCTTTATCATTCCATTCATATTACTTTATATTGGATTCCAAATATATATTTATAATTTATTTAGCATTTCGAGTAATGAATTTTAATATTACTCTACTTATGAAATTACGCTGATGTATTATACATATTTAGGATTCATATTTAGCATTCCAAGTAATGAATTTTAATATTAGCCTACTTATGAAATTACGCTGATGTATTATGCATATTTAGGAATCATTTTTATCATTTTGAGTAGGGAATTTTAATATTAGCCTACTTATGAAATTGCGCTGATGTATTATACAAATTTAGGATTCATATTTAGCATTTCGAGTAATGAATTTTAATATTAGCCTACTTATGAAATTACGCTGATGTATTATGCATATTTAGGATTCATTTTTTGCATTCCGAGTAATGAATTTTAATATTAGCCTACTTATGAAATTACGCTGATGTATTATGCATATTTAGGAATCATTTTTAGCATTTCGAGTAGGGAATTTTAATATTAGCCTACTTATGAAATTGCGCTGATGTATTATGCAAATTTAGGATTCATATTTAGCATTCCGAGTAATGAATTTTAATATTAGCCTACTTATGAAATTACCCTGATGTATTATACATATTTAGGATTCATTTTTAGCATTTCGAGTAATGAATTTTAATATTACGATACTTATAAAATTATTCTGATGTATTACGCATATTTAGGATTCATTTTTAGCATTTCGAGTAATGAATTTTAATATTACCCTACTTATATAATTACCCTGATGTATTATGCGTATTAAGGATATTTACATCTTCATTAAATGTTTTATTACTTAATTTTTATTTTACCTTTATTAGTGTTCCTTAAAGTTTCAGCTTTCATTGTATTAAAAATATAGATAATTGATGTAATACTTATTTTAAATGATTCGAGTAATGGATTTTTATATTTCCTTAATTATAAAATTACCGATATGTGTTCCATGCATATTAAAGTGATATATATTTAAAATTTATATTCTTCGTTCAATCTTTTATAACTCACTTTCTAACTTTCATTTGACCCATTTTAGTTAACGTAATATTTTATCTCTCTTTGGATTAAAAATGTTTGTACAAAGGCCAGAAAAACGGACTGCCCAAATTTTGCTATGTAAAATTATATTCTTTTAAGATAACGCTGAAAATTTCATATCTTACGATTCAAAGAAAAATTGGGTCCCTTATATATTCCATTGCATATTAAAGATATTTATAACTAAAATTTATATTCTTAGTTCAATCTTTTATTACTAATTTTCTTAATTCTTATTTAACGCTTTTTAGTGTTCATAGTGTTCCTGAAAAAGCTTAAGCCGGCTGATTTTTATGAGAAAGACCGTTTTTTTTTTACTTTTGGGTTTTTGTGGACTTTTTAATATTTTATATTTTATTATTCAAAATTAACTTATACTTACTTATTTAAATTAATTTTATTAAGTATTGAGACTATTCAGTAAAGTAATATAAGTAAAATATGCTACATTACTTATATTACTTTACTCTATATTACTGTTATATCATTGACTACATTAGTTTTACAATCTCTTAAGAGCATTTATTCCATAAATAGATAAAATATTATTAATTTTAATGATGTAAATGGTATTTTCTAAATTTGCTTCACAACTCGACATTTCTGTTTGAAATTGTTCTAAACCTATATCAATCATGTTCTTAATTCGTCCTAACTTTACTTTAAATTGATTCAGAATCATAATTTTTTTCTAGCAAATCAAACATATTTCAATAACGGTATCTTGGTACATACATACACACATGTAAACATTCTGATTTATTTATGTTCATTTCATATTTCATTGGATTACAATCATATCTAAATAATCAATGTAACACTTATTCAAATTTAATGAAAAATTCTTACAAAATATATTTCGTAAGATGTATTTTTAATTGAAAATAAATTGGGTTTCATCTTAAGACTGTAATAAGTAAATATTCATATATTTGAAAAATAAAAAACAATACATATGAAGCATTTTTTAACTTTTTATTATTCTTGTTAACAATCCAGCTTATTTAGGTTTCACTGAAATTTATTATATTGAAATATATAATATATTTATAACATATATATTATATAATATTTAAAATTTCAACTTGTAAAAGTTTTGAACACCATGTTGAGAATTATTTTCATCTTCTTATTTTTTTTTAACCTCTGAAGCTGTTTTTATTGACAGTTATTTCTTTTTATCTACAAAAAAAAATTAAATTTAAGCATAAAAAAGTCATTTTTCTAAACTCTAATACAGAAATAATTTTACGAATTAAAAAAAATAATTAATTTAGCGATAAAATAATTATGAATTTACTGCCGTAATTGTTTAACAAAATTAAATAAATTAATTCAGTAACAAATATGATTTCCTAAAATTTCAACTCATAAAGTAACTTTTAATTTTTTCGAAGCAAAATATATAATTTAATCATAAATTTCATTTTAAAAAAATAAACCCAGTTTTAAACTGCTTGAAATTAAAACTAATGAATGAAAAATATCTTAATTATATTTCTTTTGTGTCCATTACAGAGCTTTCAATACAGCTTTCTATTGTCTATATTTAAGCGATAATTACATATGCGGAAAATTTCTCATCATATACTTGAAATGAGTGAATGCTTTTAAATTATAAGTACCAAGTTTTTAATAAATAAATTTTCTCTTTTGCATTCTAGCTCCTGGAGCTGCTCCCATAAAAGTGCGAGCTATTCCAACTAGTTCGCAATCAATTAAAGTAAGCTGGAAGGTAAGTAAATGAATAAATTAATCCTAATCATCGTTCGAAAATATTTATGAGATTAGGGAGATGATTGCATTTTTTTATCGCATTTCAACGAAAGAAACTTTTTTCACACAATGAGGAACTTATATAAAATTCAAATCTGATGCAGCGACGAAAGAATTCCGTTATGAGCTTCGGAATAGCATTAATAAGTTTTAGTATTCATTTGCATTATAAATGTATGATTAAACTAAAATTAAAATGTTTTTTTTGTTTCGGGAAATTTTCCTATGATATCTGTAAATATGTTTCGTAATATTTAGAGTGTTTCTTAACGCAGTTTTTAAACATGAAATAAATCAACAGAATCCATTATTTTGTTGTTTTTTTTTCAACTTCATTCAAAATTTTATCGATTGAATAATATTAATAATTTATTAATTTAATAATTCGAGTATGTATCTAGTCTCGAAAACAAAATGACTGTATGAGAATATACACAAAAAGGACAAAAATAAAGAAAAAACGAAGAAAATTAAGAAAAACAATAAGGTTTATTTACTGCGCGAGAGCTGGAAGTAAGTAGGACTCATAAAATACTTTCAAAATGTAGAGAAAACATGGAAAAATTACAGAACAAAGAAAAAAGGGAGAAAGAAAAAAATAATAAAAGTCCGAAGGGAAAAAAAGAAAAAAAATAACCCCCAAAAAATAAAAATAAATTTAAGAAAATTAATGAAAAATTATAAATTAAAAATAATTAATAAAAAATAAATCAATAAAAAATTAATTAAAAAAAGTTATTATATTAACTTTTTTTTCTGGATTTTTATTTTTTTCCCCGATTTTCTTTTTTTTTTCTTTTTTTCTTTTTCATTGTTCTGTATTTTTTTCCATGTTTTCTCTACATTTTGAACTTATTTGTGTATATATATA